AACCCCATTCAAATCCCACCAAGGTTGAGCCAAATTCAAGATTGAGGCTCAGCAAGACACATGATCATCTCTAAAGTAGCTGCCCAATCTGCTGTGAGTGGTGTTTCATTGGATGACGTGCATCGGAGAAGCTTATTTTGTGGGTGGAGCTTGGAAGAGTACCAGCCTTTTCCTGCCCCCCCTCAATTTGGCCCCTGATTCCAGGTTAAATTATTCTTTTTGTTTGTTATTTACATTGACTTTTTCCAGAACAGCTCTTTCTTCCAGCAGTTGAATCCATTGATCTATAGCAGGTGATGACAGATTTATTTTATTAAGGATATTATGGGCCCGATCCTCAGCTGGAATTGCTCATTGGCATTGTGTCACTTTATACCAGCTGAGGAATTTGTCTCTGCATTTGGAGCTAATCTGTCTTTGGGTTGAAGAAACATTTGGTTCCGACAAGGTCTTTTCAGATAGGGCTGCTATTTATTGCTGTGTTAGAAATTCACATTCTACTTGGTATGAAACCAGTGCTCTCTCCTCTTTTCAGATATTAGTTATTTTTAACAAAGGTGATGGCTTGTCACAAAAGTGCTAAAAGAGAGCACCCTGCATATAAAAAAAGAGACCTTCTTTTATTTACTTAGGTCCTATTATTCTCGTTAGCAGTAATGTTAAATGAAAATAAAATATATGGTCACTGTGGTAATTAAAATAATTATTTAATGGAAATGTGATCAGTTACATGCTTTGTACCTTCTATTGATTGGGTGCACTTAGCAAATGACAAGACAAGTCACTATCAATATCGTGACTGCTTAATCTGTAACTATGGTAACACTTATAGATCAAGAACCCAAGTCAGTCTGCCTAGGTCAGGTATACCTGGCCTGAATGGGTCCTCGCATTGGGCCACGATGTGGAGTACGTCTCTACAGTGGATAAGTGTGTAAAGAATGCTCACCCACAATGACTTTCTGGCCCAGCAGCTGGGACTGAGACAAGAATACAAAGGAATAAGGTTTTTCTGCATTACATCCCCGAGGAATGTATTTCCAGCACTTATTATTCACTGTCATTTGTACAGCACCTAAAGCATTGCATGAGATTTACAGTACAAAGACAACATGTACCCTGCCCCCAGGAGTCCAATCCTGCAAACTTTTCCTTGTCCTGTTGCCTTCTGAGGGCCTACATAAGTGTGTGCAGGATCAGACTCTAATTTTAGATATGAGACAATTAGTGAGAAGAATGCAAATGGGCAGGGGATGTAATTATGGAATCAGGAGGATGAGGGAATCAATAACATAGGCTGAAACTAGGAATTAAGTGGGCATAGTTCTTGTGCTGGCCTTCTCTGTGGAGGTGGGGGTGAATTTCATCCTAGCAGTGGTGTTGGAAGGTTAGAAATGTCACCTCAATCTCACTAGATGGGGGAACTAGCCTCAAACTGAAAATCGGAGCAACGTGGCTGCACTGGCTGCAAAGAGCAATAGTAGGTGGCACTGAACCAAGAGAAGCAGCTCCTGTTGCCATTGTTTTTCACTAATCAATAGCGTTAAAACAGGTTATCATGTGCTCTTAATACATATATTTGCTGAACTTTCTAGAGCAATGGAGGTTGGCATCTGGTTTATGTTTATCCTGCTGGGCACTAGGGATGAAGAGAAACTGCAAAGGGAAATGGGCCTATTGCTTGATGTGTTTATTTGCAGCTAAGTTTTATCCCACCACTATCTACTCATATTTGATAAGCCAAGTGAGACTAGGTAGTTCAAGGACTGGAAATGTGCCAGGTGAGGGGAAAAAAGAAGTGACAGGTAAACTAGGGGAGAGGTGTGTAAGACCGTGCCACTCTCTCCTCCCGCCTTTACACGTAAACCTAAAGATAGGTACAATCTAGCCGTGTATCTGAAGAAGCTTCATGCTAAATTCTTTTGCTCTCCCAGCGTTGCTGAGCGCTGCAGTCGCTCTGTGGGTCAACTCAGTCTTACATAGATGAACTCATTTTCTTCAATGGGCATTTTGCCGCACTGTAGGATTTGGCACTGCAGGTTTAATTTGTATCACCACCACTTAATAATACTGCTTCTTCTAGGGATTTGTCCTGCCACGTTGTTTTCATCTTGACACGTGACTTGTTTCCCAATTAAGTATTAAGTCTCCCCGGAATGGCTCGGTGCCGCTGTTTAACTATGAATCTCTTCTTGCCAGGTAGCTCTAACAGAATTTCTGCTTCCGTATATTTGATGTTAGCTGCTGTAGTGTTAATACTTTCAAAAAAATGAGAAAACTAAATATTTGGGCCTCTTTTCTGATGGACAGGGCTCGCCCTTCTCATTTTATAAACCCGTACACTTCTTCTGTCAGGTGTTAAAATAATTAAAAATGTGCTGACAGACACACACGTTCCCACTTCTGACAGAACTGTGGCTCCTCCTCAGATGAATGTAACATTTAGGAATTACGATATTCTGTTAATATTTTAACGTGTTTTTCTAAACTTGAATTACCTGCTGCATCCTGCCCTCTTTACAGTGGCAAAGTTCCTATTGACTGCAGTGGGAGCTTTGTATGCAAGCTGCCATACTTGCCTCTAGCGCTATATAGATTTAAAATGCTTTCTTCTTCATTGGCATTTACCTATCATAATTATTTTTTATTTGTTTCTTTCTGATTTGGGGTGATTTTAAAACCACCTATGGAATTTAGGAGTCTAAGTACCATTTTCAAAAGTGACTTAGGCAGTTTTGTCTACACTGCCAAAACAACAAAAAATGCCTCCCCAGCTTTCATAGCCTGTGCTCCAGCTCCAGCCGGAGTATCTACACTGCTATTTTTAGTGCTGTAGTATGAGCCCGATGAACATGTGCGTGTAGACCTGGGCTCTGAGACTCACTGCTGCATTTTTGTTGTTGTTTTCCAAAGCACCTACATGCCTAATGCCTAGCTTAAAAATAAGGCACAGCTCAGTCATTTGTTTATGCAATTTTTGCAGTCATTTTATTGAAAAAGCTGGTATTAACATATTTATATCTTTATTCAACAACAGTTAGCTAATTTGTGCAACACAAAGAATGCAGCCATGAACAACAGCTTTCCAAACAATCTGATTTACCAACTTTACCATCATTTACTCTACGCCACTGAAAGCTCAAACCAAAAACGAAAAAAAGTTTTAAAAGATTCACAATGACGATGTCAACTTTCTTACATTCAAAAAGACCAGGAAACTGAATCGTAGCAGTGATATCAGAGTCATGAATGTGATACTGGTCTTTAAAAGGATTTCCATATTTTCCTCAATAATCACATCATATCATTTTGGTCTGGAAATCAATAATTTTGTAAAGCTCCAAAAATGTATTTTATTAGTTAGTTATTTTTACAAGATCTTTTTGGTACCCAAACCTGAAACAGAATAAGGTACTTGAAATAAAAATAGTATTACTGTTGTATTAAGATCTGCTTTATAATAAGTTACATATAGACTCTTACTTGAGGATGTTAGAAGCTAAATATGTTTTACAGTACTTCTAGCAGTAAATGCCAGTATGAGCTGTTAGCATTTTTGGGCTACAAAGGTTAATGGAGGCGGCCAAAAGTCAAAGAAAGTGTATGACATCCTTGAAGCAGTAGTTTGGCATTAACAAGATTTCTATACAATTTACCACATTCTTAAACCTTTTTACAAGAAAAAAATTGATTGTTAACTTTAATTAGAATAAATATATACATATAATACTGCCCATGTCTTCTAGGGTATACAGTATTTTATAAACAAACATTCCTCATTCCCTTTAAAATTAACCTACATATTTCATACTGTATGTGTATAGTATTGCTGGAAACTGATGCACATGCGTTTGTGCTTCTACACACGGAATATACAGTATCAATCTAAAAAAATTTAAACATACATAGTTCATGTGTCATGTCAGGACTTCATATAAAAAGTTGTCACCTTTTTTTTTGTAAACCTTGGTAGTAGATTTTCCCCCAAAAATCAAAATATAAAAGCATGCAGGTTCATTTATTAGTTCATTCTCCATTTTCCAAAAAGTTAGTGAAGAATGGGGTAAGGTTGTTAAAGAACCTTTTCTAAGTGAGGGATTTTTAACAAGAGCAGATCAGCCAAGGCATCTGAATCAGTTACACTCCTTTACTCATGAGTTGAGAAGAAATCATTTGGGGTAATAATTTTTCCGCAGATTTTATTAGTCATGCAGAAAGATTTCCTAGATTAAAAAGCATTTCCAAAATGGTACACCATTTCTATACACTTCTTAATGGAAATATCATCTTCCATTTACATTGAAGTTCAATTGAAGAAAGAACTGTATAAACCAATTTAAGTAGAATTTTAGTTTTCTGTTTCACCCAGGAGTCATCTTGTAATTTTACAGTCATTTTAAAATTCAGTGAGCCATGCTAAACTCTTGAGTTACCATTCATAGTAGTTAAACCTGTATTTCCTGGGGATTCTGCAAATACCAAGTTTAAAGTAATAAGTGCGATGCAGTAAACATCACGTGTGGGATTTTCAAAAGGGCTTAACTCAATGTTTGACTTCAGTGGAAGCAGAGTTAGGCCAACACTTGAGGGTTTCTGAAAATCCCATCCCAAAATTGTAATAGCACATGTGTATATGCATTAACAAGTGTATCTTTATATGTGTTGAATAGTCACTGTGGAGTGGCAAATCCTGAGTTTTTAAATGGCACCCACTGAAATTAGTATTGTCACATTCTACAGTGTGATTGGAAATGTACCTGCAGAACAAGCTGCCTTTTTAAACTAAGGTAGTTGAGATTATCGACAGCACTCTTCATTTTTTGACTCAGAAAGTTGAAATACAAAGTCAGGATTTGTAGCAGAAGTAAAAAATTGTAAAAGTGTTTGTGGAACTCCATAATGAGGGCTCAATGCGAGGGACGGGGAATGTGAAAAGGGAAATAGGGACAACTTGTCACTTGTTAATAAGCAGAATAATTTCTTTTGCTTCCATATTGCTAACTGTCTAGGGCCTTCCTTCTGTACGCAGCAATGTATGGGGGACACAGCTATTCCTACACTCATAAATAAGTCTACTTGACTTTGAAAGCCCGGAAAGCATTCCTGAAAAAAAATCAAGGGACTAATGTGAAAAGCTCTAATAATGTGGTAAACACTGCAGACTGTGGAAGAATGCAGCACAGCAGGATGCTGGTCCTGTGAAGCATTGTCCCTGGAGTTTAGGGTACTCAGCACCTCACAGGATCAGTCCTGAAATGAATACCCCTGATTGTTTAAAAAATGGACATGGACCACAATACTGAATTCACAGTAGTGCCTTTTTACTTAGACAATTATACAGTTGCAGTGATTTAAAACAGTTGGTTGCCACCAACAATGATACAGACTGAGGGGTGGAGGGAGGGAATCTACAAATTCCATCACAATGACCATACTTTTGTGAAGATCATGTCCTTCTACAACTCTCAAAAGGCTGGTTTATAAATACAGAAAGATATTGATCGATCTAGTGCATTTCTGAGTTCACTTTATCCTGAAATATGTACAGATTGTTTGTCGCTGCTATAGCAATTATGTTCTCAGTTGGGTGCCAGGCTGTGTGCAAGATCTTCTTCGTAAAGTCCAAACTGTCGACACTGATGTCATCTTTCCTTCGCTTGCCCCCTACGCAGACTCGGCGGGGTTTTAGAATGGCTCGTGGCTTACTGCTCTCCCGGGATGCCTCCAAGGTAACATCCCGCTTGGTGTTTCGGTCAAACATTCGAAAGAAGTTGTTATATGCACCTGTCATAATAACACTGAAGAGGGAGGAAACAAAAGCAAGAATAAATAGCGGAATACACTAACTCTACCACGAACGGGAGTGGATCAGTACAGTACAATTACATTTCCCTGCCATGTAATTGAACTCTATGGAGTTCATAAACTTGTGTTACTGTGCAGTTTAATATATATGGACTTTTGAGTTTACATGGTTTCTCATCATCTCATGGCATTTAATAAACTGTAAGGTTGCTTCAGTATTGCTAATCCCAAGTATTCAAAAATCATGAGTCAGAACCCCAACATTATTAGACTGATTAAAAAATAATGAGATTTAAAAATAATAATTCTTGGGTTCTGTTTATTTGCATTCTAATTCTTGGGCCTTTACGGTTCAAATTTTCAAGCTTTCTCCATAACTATGAAACTTTTATTTGAATGAAATGTAAGCTCATGACTCCAAGAGCTGTGTCTTTAAGAAAAACACCAAATATTGCATGACTTGCTATAGAATAGCAAGAGTTGACAGCGTTGGTTACTTTCACATTTGTTTAAATGAATGTTGCCAAGAAAGATGTTTGAGGAATTACTAGGATCAGGTAAAATTCATCGCATCTGTGAATTTTGCATGTGAAATTCATTTCCTTACAGCCTTACATTATTATTATTTATTATTTGTATCATCATAGCACCTACAAGCCCCAGTCATGGAGCAGGGCCCATTGTGCTAGGCACTGTACAAACACAGAACAAAAAGACAGGCCCTTCCCCAAAGAGCTTACAATCTAAGTATAAGACCAGAGAAAATAGATGAATACACATAAATGGGGGAGTACAAAAACTCAATGTCACAATATTGTTTAAATAGACAAGCCAGGAACAGGATGGTGGAAGGGGTAGAACACACATACAGGGTGAACAATGTGATGGTAGCAGACATCAGGTTAGTGCCACAATTTTTTTGGGGGGGGGGAGGAGGGAGGTGGATTTACTTAGGAGAGGATCAGCTAAATGGAAAGAAAAGGAGAGAGGGGTGAGAGGAACAGGGCAGGGGAGGAGAGGGTAGTCAGGTGTGAACCTGAGGTGAAGAGGCTATGAGAAGGGACGGAGGTTGGAGCAAACAGCGAATCAGTACAGGGCAGAGGGAAGTCAGAGAACATTCCAGAGCTTTAACTAGATGTCCAAAGGTGCCTGCTTGGTCTGCTGCTGCTTCTACCAGGTGGAGTCTCTGGCTGCCTCCTCTCTGCAGCTCATGTAGGGTAGTTGAGGGGAGGTGCCACCTGGGTCCCTAGTGTCCCCAGAGTGTGTGTGGGGGGGGTCTCCCCTCCACATTCTAAATCCAGGGGAGGTGTGAAAGGGGAGAAGGGTTGACCCTGGTTAGGTCCTATTTTACCCATCCCCACCCCCCAGTGCAGCAGTCCCTGCTTTGGACATTGTTAATACGTTTGGAGAAACAAGTGCTATGAGCACATTTATCCCCAAATATGTTATTAAAAAGATGTTTACCGATAAACGTGATGTGACAGCGTTTGATCTACTACACAGTCACAAAAGGAGATATGTATCCTCTCAGTCCTTCCATCCCTCTCCACAAAGCCTGAGTAGTCATGCTTTTTGCAAGGCTATCTGCAGGGGCTGGAGAAAGAGGGATGGAATTTATCTTCTCCCCAAACACAAGCAGACCCCCTAATCCAGCCCATAGTCTGAAATAGTGATTGTGTCCTGCTCCAAAATCCTCCATCACAAGGGGGTGATAGTCTGGCTCCACTGAAGTCAGTGGGTCTTCAAGTCACTAGATCCACATGGTCATGGATCCTATGGCCTTGCCTATAACCCCCCCAAAAACACTGACCTATTGCGGGCCAATGCAGACACTCCCAAGCAGTGGCCAGAAGGTGTGAAGACCTTACGGCAAAGCTGCTCCACAGTTATACTCCCCCCATTGCAGCCCCAATGTAGGGTGCCAGTGGTGTGGAGAGCATCCCATTGGCTCTCTGCACTAGGGAAAAATGTCACCCAAAGCTCATATAGTCTTTAAAGGTGCAGCTATAGAATCATAGAAATGTAGGGCTGGAAGGGAGCTTGAGAAGTCATCAAGTCTAGCCTCCTGCGTTGAGGCAGGACCAAGTAAATCTAGACCATCCCTGACTGGTGTTTGTCCAGCCTCTTCTTAAAAACCGCCAATGTTGAAGATTCCACAACCTCTGTTGAGAGTCTATTCCAGAGCTTAACTGCCTTATAGTTGGAAAGTTTTTCCTAAAATCTCCCATGCTGCAGATTAAGCTGATTACTTCTTGTCCTACCTTCAGTCAACATGGACAACAAGTCACGTTCTCCATCATAGTCTTCTTTTCGCAAGACTGAACATGCCCAGTTGTTGTTTTTTTTAACATGGCCTCATCGGTCAGGTTTTCTAAAACTTTTTTTAGTTTTGTTGCTCTTCTCTGGAGTCCGCTGCCTCTCTCCCATTTGTCCACATCTTTCCTAAAGTGTGTTGCACAGAATTGGACTCCAGCTGAGGCCTGACCAGTGCCAAGTAGGGCGGGACAATTACCTCCCTTGTCTTACATACAACACTCCTGTAAATACACCCCAGAATATCTGCCTCTTTCACAACGGCATCACATTGTTGACTCATTGTGGAAGGGTGAGTGCCCCACCCCCATGTGAGAGGGGGCAGAGTAGGCCAGAGAGGCCGCACAGGCCGGCAGCCAATCAGGAAAGGGCTTACTGAGGGCCAATCAGGGCCGAGATTGGAGACAGCCAATCAGGGCTCAGCTTGGCCCTATATAAAGGCTGCCCAGAAGCACAGCAAGGAGTCTGTCTCAGGCCTTTGAGAGGGGAAGGTCTGTCTTCAGAGCAGGGAGACTAGCACCAGGGACAGTGCAGTGCTGGGCAGGCCCGGGGGAGCAGAAGGGAACTCCAGCCTGGTGTCTGCCAGGTTGTAGGCCCTGAGGGGAAGGGCCTAGCGGGTGCAAGGGGCCATAGGGGAAGCGGCCCAGGGAAGCAGACAGATGAGGGGAGAGAAGGAGGACAGCGAGGCTGTCGCCAGAGGGTCCCTGGGCCGGGATCCAGAGTAGAGGGCGGGCCTGGGTTCCCCCCCCTTGCAGTACACCCAGCCATTGGCCGTAGGGAGCGGCCATTATAGACTACGCCAGATCCCTGACAAGAGGGATTAGACTTTGGGGTGTGTGGTTGTACATGGTGGCTGGGGTGCAGAGAGACTGCTGATCAATTCTCTTCTCCCCCTCCCCCCCGGAAGGGGGCAAGGATAGACTAAGGGCACTGCTGGAGGGCAGTGGCTTGAAAAGGACGCCGCGAGCTGGTGAGCGACGCGGGCTCAGATGCCAACTGAGGGCGAGATGATGGATGGGACACCACCAGGAGGGGGTGCTCCACTGGACAGAGCTAATTCCCAGAGACAACCAACAGGAGGCACCAGGTGGTGAGTCCCAGCACCGTTACACTCATATACAATTTGTGATTCAGTATAACCCACATCCTTTTCAGCAGTACTAACACATAGCCAGTTATTCCCCATTTTGTAGTTGGGATTTGACTTTTCTGTCCTAAATGAAATACTTTGCACTTTGCTTTATTGAATTTCATCTTGTTGAATTCATATAACTCGCCAATTTGTTGAGGGTATTTTTGAATTCTAGTCCTGTCCTCCAAAGTGCTTGCTACCTCTCCCAGCTTGGTATCATCTGCAAATTTTATAAGGATGCGCTCTATTCCATTAGCCACGTCATTAATGAAAATATTGAATAGTACCGGACCCAGGACTGACCCCCTACAGGAACTTATGAAATACATCGTCCCAGTTTGACAGCAAACCATTGATAACTACTCTTTGAGTACAGTCTTTAAATTGTGGGTGCCTAACTGATTGGAAATGTGGGTCAGATTCATAGTTTCATTCTGAGTGTCATGTGCGACTGTGTCAAAAGCCTTTACTATAATCAAGCTATATAGCATCTACTGCTCCCCCACAATCCAACAGGCCAGTAATACTGTCAATACTGTGGTTTAGCATGACTTGTTCTATTATCCTGTAAGTGCTTACAAACTGATGGTTTAATAATTTGTTCCAGTATCTTTCTAGGTATTGAAGTTAAGCTTACTGGTCTATAATTCCCGGGTAGCCTCCTTGTTCCCCTTTTTGAAGAGAGGTACTATGTTTTTCTTATTACCTTTTATGTCCCTCATTAGGTGTAACTCATTTTGTGCCTTGGCCTTTCTAATTTTGTCCCTACATGCTTGTGCTAGTCTTTTGTACTCCTCCTTAATTCGCCCATGTTTCCACATTTTTAAGAGTTCCTGGTGGAGCCATACTCGCCTCTTTCGATTATTCTTATCTTTCCTTCATATGGGAATAGTTTGCAGTTTTGCCTTTACTACTGTCTCCTTCAGATACTGCCAGCTCTCCTGAATTACTTTTGCTCTTAGATTTTCTTTTCACGGAACCTTACCTACTAGTACTCTGAGTTTATTAAAGTCTGGTTTTTTTAAACAAATTGTCCTGCTGCTGCTCTGTCCTTCCTTTCCTTAGAATCATGAAATCAAGCATTTAATGATCACTTTCACCCAAATTGTCTTCCACCTTCAGATTCACAACCAATTCCTCCGTGTTGGTCAGAATCAAGTCTAAAATTACTGTTCCTTCATCCACTTTCTGAAACAAAAACTTGTCCCACATAATATTGTGTTATGCTGTATTTCTTTTCCAATAGATGTTTGCGTAGTTAAAATCCCCAATTACTACCATGACTTGTGTTTTGGATATTTCTGTTATTTCTTCTAGAAATGCCTCATCCTGCACCACCTCTTCCTGATTTGATAGTCTATAGTAGACCCCTACCACAACATCACCCCAATTTTTACTCCTTTTATCTTTACCCAGAGACTTTCAACTGGTCTGCTTCTCACCTCCTTCTGGACCTCAGAATAAGTGTATATATTTTTTATGTATAATGCAACACTTCCTCCCTTTTCATCCTGCTTGTCCTTCCTGAACATGATGTACCCCTCTATA